AGATGCTGGTTTGTGAGTACAATTTTCAGTAAGAGTTTTACGGCACTTGCAACACAATAAGGTCATATAAAAGCCGAAGATTAGAGGTGTTACAAGGGAGTAACAAACATAAAAAAAGAAGGAGGGGAGATAAGGACAAGATGTTCAATAGGAAAGAAGAAGCAAACCAGACCTGAGCACCCGCCAACCACTCACGTTTGAAAGTATGAATAAATGCTACAAGAACTGATATTGTGACTGTAGAAGATTTCTGCCCCATTGACACAATTCAGTATCATTCAGGAGGCTTAAAGGGAAACAACACCCAGTAGAAAGATTCACGTCTCCTGTGTCTGTGAGCCACACCAAAACACCTCACCGCTACACCACGGACGCCAGTGGAAGCTAATAGTAATACACTGTACATGGTCGCTTTTAAGCACAAGGGGGCTATCCCTAAAAATACTGTTTTGAGAAAATCGAAGGTAAAGTTTTTGCCCTTTGTTCAGTTTCTTTAAAAGACAAGGAGAGTTTTCTCCATAACTAAACAAATATACACCAAACTTCTCCTAGATAGGTAGGGCAATGCCCACTTTTGGGGTATGTCAAGATTTCTGGAAACCCCTGAAATCTGGGTTAGCCCGCTTGTCCTTAAAAGCGACCACATTGTACTAGCAAACTCACCATGAAAAGAAAACAAAGTACCAAAAGATAGAGCAGTAGGATTAGCAAAACAAAACAAAAACCACACACACAAAAACCCACATAACACAATCAAAACATTTGCGCATTTATTTAGTGTATTTATATACAAGTAAATGTTCTACAAAATATTCAGCCATGCCAATTTTTTTGGTGATATACAAAATATAATCTGTATAAACGATTATACATCAAATTCTTTAAGAAACACAAAAGAAACATTTGAAATATAATTATATGTTGCTTAACGGTTTTTTTTCCTTAAAAAAAAAGTATTTGAAAATTGGCCTGACCATAATTAACTTGTTTGTAAGTTTTTATATCAAAATGTTGGTAATAGCAGACTTCAACTATCCCCCACCCCTACCCCACCCCCGCCAAATGAGAACGTACTTATTCTACTATACACATGGTATACATTGGGGAATCCACTCTCTGAGAGGCCACATGTGGGTAGCTGTGATGTCATGAATGAAAGACGCTTTGAAAACTTATTAGGCCTACTTATTTAAGAATGTCTCTCTCTTTCTTTCTCCATGGGGGGGG